GGCACCAACCATATCAGCTCTAGCTGAGTAGCCTCCTGCAGCCCAAGTGCCTCAGCACCTGCAGGTCTTCTTCTTCTTCGGCTTCCATCTCCTAATGGAGGTTGGAAACCATCATGGCAATTCTAACTTTGTTAACGGCTGCTCTGAATAACTGGTTTGAGGTCATTCCAAACCATTCTCTCAAATTCTTGAGCCATGATGTTCTTCTTCTTCCTTGGCTCCTTCTGTCCTTTATCTTTCCTTCTATTATGTTCTGCAGCAGGGCATATTCAAGGTGCAACAGGGCATATTCAGGGTCCTCTCATTATGTGTCCAAAGTACTCAAGTTTTCTCTTTTTAAGGGTGTTAATCACCTCTTCGTCCTTCTGAATTCTGCGTCGCAGTTCTACATTTGTAACCTTGTCAGTCCATGCAATCCTCAGCATACGCCGATAACACCATATTTCGAATGCCTCAAGCTTCTCCATTTCGGCCTTTTTAAGTGTCCAAGCCTCTGAACCATAGAGTAGAGTTGCAAATATGTAACCCCTTAGGATTCTTAATCTAAGCTTTAAGTTGATGTCTCCACTGCAGAGACATTTTTTGAGTTTTGCAAAGGCTGCTCTGGCTATTTCTATTCGAGCTTTTATTTCTGCTGATTGGTCCAAGTTTTCGGTCAACCAACTGCCTAGATATTTATATATTTGTACTCTCTCCATAGGTGTACCATCTATTAGAACATTGGCATAGGTGTATCATCTATTAGAATATTGGAACCTGCAGGTTGTGACCTGCTAACTAACAACACCTCTTCAGTTATGAATGTATCAAACCTCAAACCTTGGTATGAAGACAGTATTTGAATTATTATTAGTTCTCTTTTATTAAAGTTCTGGACAGCATAGTTACATTCTCTGGAATAGTGATCAGGGTTTTTTCTGCCGTGCTCTTTTACTCGTGAATTCCAGCCGGAGTACGGCACTCCATTCATTTCATTTAATAAACTAAGTAGGGCTATTTCAGGACAAATTTAGCGTTTCATTTGCATGACCTATTCCCCTCAAATTTCCTAAAATTCTATGTCGAAGCGCATCCGAGGTAATCACAATAAAAAAAATATTTAACACAACGTAAGTTCCTTTTTTTCGTTTAAATTATTTGTTATATAGTTGGCCAAAATATTACCTCTTCAACATTGTTGACGAACTTGGGTTGTTACACTTCAACTGTAATCACAAAACTTCAATCGATTTCCGTATTGTAACGGAATTTTAAATTATGTCTTTATTTTCGAGAAAATTTAGTCCAAACACAAGGAATATTTTATACCATCAAAATTTTCAAAAAATAAAAAAGTTGTCTAAAAATGTGATACAATACGGATATAGTATAATCCTTTATCTTTACTTTCCTTCTTCATTTGTGTAAAAATACCTAGCCAGTTTGACATAAAACGTTAAATGCCGAACGCTTAATTTGCTAATTTTTCGGACTAGTGAAATGGACTCTTTAAAACTATAACGGCGTTGTAATTAGCTTGTCAAAACCAACAAAAATATATAATGTCTATATCTTCCTGACAGGTCCATTATTGGTTGATATTTCACCACTGTAGATAAAAAAAATGATATATTTATTTTCTTTCTAAAATACCACTGTGAGCAGACTAAATGAGCAGTTCTGCCAACCTCTACCTAATGAGAGCCGTACAGATTAATTAAAAAAGGCGTATATTTAAAAACTACAGCCGTGTCATAAACAAGAAACAGTAAAATACTATACTCGTACGTATAGTATTATAGCAAAATAAAACACTAAATCACCACAATACACCAAAACACTTTTACTCTTACACTGGACGCGCGTTCGCTAACCATGTTAGCATCATCAGCAGATGATTATAAAACTAAGTTGATAAGATGATTATAAAACTAACTTTGAGTTTTATAATCATCTGCTGATGATGCTAACATGGATAGCGAAACGCGCGTCCAGTGTAAAAGTAAAAGTGTTTTGGCGTATTGTGGTGGTTTAGTGTTTTATTTTGCTGTGTAACACCAAAGGTTCCAACCCTCAACTGTAATATAGTATTATAGTAAAATATACGACGAATATAGGATTTTTAGTAATTTTTTCTTTTATTAAAATATCTAGAAATGACCGAATGAAATACCTGTCTTTGAACCTTAATTTGGTACGAAAATTTTATAAAAGGATACTGGTTATTTTATTTTGAAACAAAGTTGTCGATATTGTAAGATTTTTTCCAAAAACAGCAAATATATCATCAGCATGCCTTACCCTTGAAAAATACTCAAAGTGATTTTTAGGCTCTACCTACCAAATGTTTCAATCATGATGGCTGATGAAGTTAAGCAAAAAGTGCGTTTAGAGTTCCAAGTAATTCGTATTAGTTTATAGTTAAGAACTATGTTTTTATTTTAACCCCTCATATAACAAACTCATAAAGGATTGATTGTTAATATCTAGTCTAACTTTACCTAATAATAGTCTCAGGACGTCAACGATAAATAGTTGTGTCTGAAACAGAGCCTGACGTATTCTTCCTATAGTTAAATTTAGATATTTAGTGTTTCATTTCTATGTTTGCTTTGGGTGAGACAGTGGCGCATATACGGGAGGGGGGTAATAGGTGTAATTATATTATTTATTTAAAATATACCTATACTTTTAAAGTTAAAAAAAAACAAAACTGTAAAAGGTTATAATCGATTCTAACAGCTAATAATTAACATAACTGAACGGTATCTGATACACGTTTCATGATGAAAATGGACTTGAATCTTATTCAGGGAAGAAAACTGAGAACTGTGTTGGTCCAATTTATAAGTTCTGGATGTTAAAATTTTGAAAACCGTAATAGACAGTTGAAATATGTTTTTAACAAGTTGAGTATTTTTTATGCTATAATAGTTGTATATATAGTAAGTATTGGACTAGTAAATGAACTATATTGTCATTATTTTAATATCTTAAGCTTCATTCTGAACCCCGAAATTAGTGGTTTCAATTAGTGATGGGATAACTTGAGCGAAAATTCGCTCGAGTACTCAATTAATGAAATAACCGACGTTGCTCGATTATGAACGAACGACGAACGCAAGCGATCCTGTCGAGCGAATTTGCTACATACATTGGCAATATTTTATCAGTATTTTTGGTAAAATATCTTCAAACAACAGATTGTTCTTTTGATTGGGACCGCATTGTTAATTATAGAACTATACGACGTTATCTGTTACGTAACTGTGTGACAAAATTTTACCACCTACATTGACAAGACTTCGATGCATGATCAAGCGAAACTACTCGTCGTTAGTCGCTTGTCGCTTGCCACTATCACTGAAAGTATATGCGCTCTGCGCACGCAGCTTACTGTTTGGCGTTACGAGTACATGCAAGTACAAGCGACGACGAAAACCCGTATATTTAAATACGAGCGAAATTTCGCTCGAGTGATCGCTCGATTATTGACATCGCTTGAAACTCGAGTACTCGATTATTAAAATTCATCGTTTTTTTCACTAGTTTTAATTAACGGAGAAGCAATATGATTGAAGCTCTACCTCTGATTTAAATATATTACCATTTAGAAAGTTAAAATTAGAGGTAGTAATTTCCATTTAGTAGAAAAAGTGGTCTTCGATTATTATCCGTCAAGAGAAATTGTGGTTAGAAATGAATAGTTTATTGATTTTTAAGCTACTTTATTAGGCTCTCTCTATGGATACAACTGACCACCGCACAATGTTGCTAGGATATTCTACTAATTTCAATTGTACTTTTAGACATTGTGAATAATCATAAATTTTTAAGTACATACTTTTATTGAAACCACTAATTTCGAGGTTCTGAATGAGGCTAAAAGCTTCACTCAGATTCATTCAGAATGTCCAAATTAGTGGAATAAGTTAGTGGTCCCAACCTCAAAATTTGTGGTAGTAATTTTCAATTGCCTACATACATACTACGTACATATTTAGAAAAATATTTAACATTTTTCTCTAATTATACTTCAAAATTTCCGAATAATACCATTTTGGCCTTTGATTATCATCCATCAAGAGAAATTGTGGTTAGTAAAAAAAGTAGATTGTTTTATAAACATTAGTAGGCTTTCCCTATAAATAGAAATAACTACGGCTAGCTGTTGCTAGGATATCCTATTAATTTTAATGGTTCCGTATGATCGAATAAAAACGGCGTCAACGATGGCTATGAAATGAAGATCGGTGTCATTTTATATGTAAAATTATATGGAAATCGATCATCGATCGTCATTTCCAAGCCAACTGGACGCTGTTTTTTTTTCGTTCATACGGTATTTCTTAGATCTTGTGAATGTGTCAACTTTTAAGTATAAACTACAAATGGAGCCACTAATTTATTCCACTATTTATTATTCCAAGCTAATAAATCGAGGTAACTACTTAATGGAGCTTTAATTTTACTAATTGAATTATAAATAATTATCAGTTTAAAACGCTAATTATAAATATTTACTTACATGTTATTAGCAAAACTGTATCGACATAATGGGGACTCATAGAAACAATAAAATGCTAATGCGATCCCCGGAATTATAATATATTTTCTCATATTCAAAATATAAAAAGAATTATAGGCCGTTGAAGCGTAGTTCTAATCAAATTAGCTATATTCGATCAAAAACTTTATTGCTCAGACAATAATATATGATAAAGTATTTAATCATATGCATACGCTAATTGATATACTACATATTGTCAGTTAAAAAGGATAGTTAATAGAATGGTGACATCACACTTTATGAATATTTAAACATTGTATGTCTTATTTTGACACTATCTGAGAAGAGTATTATCATAGCAGGTATCTATAGGTACCCTAGTGTCGTTGATTTCGATAAAGTCTTTCAGATGTTAATGGATGGTTTGTGCATAGTTTCAATTACCATTATAGGCTTAATTTCTGCTATGTAAAGCTTCTAGGGGTAAATAATATCAGTAGTTATCACATACCTGAATTCATGCCAGCTATACCGAACGGAGAAGAGCCTTGAAACACCGGCCCTGGACCACCAAACGGATTCATTATACCCTGAGGCGGCCAGTTTTGATGCGCGGCTTGGTACACCGCCGCCAACGCGGAAAACGGCGTTGGCCTAATAGGTCCATGTCCCAAAATCGACTCGCGACTAAACTCCCGAGGTCTCGGCGAAGAATCTTCCCGTTTACCCGCGTCTTCGACCTTTTCGTCAGGATTTAAGTCCTCAACGTCTACCAAAGACCCGTCATCATCTTCTATGTTCGAGTCATACTCCTCATCGGATGAAGCCGGAGCTGTAGGGCTTCCAGGCGGTAACGTAGAAGAACCCTGAGATGTCGGCGACCTAGGGGGTCGCGTATCGGCTAGGAGGGAAGCTACGCTAAAGCTAATACGGTTCCCTTTGGACGCGGCCGGACTATTCCCGGTGGTTTCCGCGTCCTGATGGGCGTCCGGCCCTGACGGCGGACTCTGGACAGTCATTATTTGCGCACTATCGGACGGTTGTCTGAGCATAAGTTTGCACCGGCACCACCGGACAGCACTCTCACATGGCTTCAAATAGTGTTGTGGATCGCGGCTCGTAAAAAACGCCTCGTTTCGGTTTTTTAGTCGAAGAATTCGGCCATAGGCGTCGCCCCAGCGCGTCCGAAAGAGACTGAGCGCGTTCGCGGGGCTTTCAAATCGTGGGGGAGACGCGCGGTAGGCGGCGGGTCTCTGATGGGCGTGGTTTCCGAGCCCCGCCTTCGCTGAAATCATTTCCAACCAATAATACGTCGTAATCGTTAACTGCCGTGCATTCGGTCAAATCGAAGTGATAGGGGAGTGCGACGAATTAATTTGCGAGTGGCGGTTTGGTCGACTGTACGAGCTTTTATTCGATTCCGGCATTTTTGCCGAGCCGTAATTTTCGCTTTAAGAGTTTACACTTATTTAATGTCAAATAAAAATGATCTTTAAATTGTTATAACTTAATTATGGAGTGGAGGCGATGAGCTCGGCGTTCGGTATTATTGGTCGAGGTCGGGACGGGACGTAATTGATTCCTGAGGATGGAATGATCGAGGAGGATGGGGGGAGTGTTGGGGGACGGTATAATTGGAAAAGTAATGGATTTTTCCCGTTCGAACTTTGATTTGAATAGTGAGCGAGGTGGCGCGATTTTTATTTCTCTTGATAGGGAGTTTAAATGAGATAGGATCTGAATTAATAAGATGTGTTTGAATGGTAATTTTCTTGTAGTGGCTGTTATATTCTCCTATCATTTAAAAATAAATTTAATTAATTTTCTTCTTCGAACGAAATCCATTCATCACAGACACAATTTTTTTTTGAACGTCACAAAAGCATTCATTTTTGCGACGTGAATGACAATATAAAGTCATTTTAAGGTAAAAACATAAAAGTAAAGCACTTTTATACATAAGCATAAAAATGCGAAAATATATTTTTAAACTGACATAAAGTGTCAAATTCAACGAGTGTAACCATAGTTTGTCGATATATAATTACATACAAGGTATGACTTTTAAATCTTTTTATATTATTTTGAACGTTTCAAATTGTTTGAGAACATATATGTGGCGTTTGAAAAAAATACCATGTTCTATGGGCAGTAAAAATGACTTTTTGTGCCTCGGCTGTATGTCGGTCAAACGTACAGCCTCGCCACAAAAAGTGCCATTTTTATTCCTAATAAAACAATATACTATTACTGAATTACAAAAAAAATGTTTACTAGCAGACCTTGCAGTCGAACATTGGTCTTTTTAGAGCCTCTTTTAGTGCGAAGTATACAATAGAGCTTAATAGTCGTAAAAAACTCATCGCAAATTTATTAGAATATTTTAAACGGAAAATCCGTAGTAATGGCCTTTTATCCCCCTTAAGTGCTCTTAAGAAGGTCAGTTTTGTTGATGTAAATAATAACTGTTTATATATTTATAATTTATTTAATTTTGTTTCCTAAAATATTTTCATTAAAAGAAAATATATAAAAGTGGGCAACGCTGGGTCCAGCTTAATCACGTGACTAAAAGTTTATTTGGTATGAACTGTATATATACACTGGATTGTAATTACGTTTTTTCTTGAGATTTTGATCTTTCTTGTACCTTTTTGTTATTACATCAGCATCATCATTTTCAGCTTATTCAGCCATTTCCAATTTATGGTGTAGCCTACATACCTCACATATACATACTGTCTTTGAAGTTGGGCCAATTGTTGTCTATTGTTGGCTATAGTCTTGCGACGTTGTCCGATGCCTAACTTCCACGTCTTCCGATCGTTCCATTGTCCCTCGCTTAGATTTCTGGCGCTCATTGCTCTTGTGACACCCTCCTCCCAAATCTTTTTAGGTCTTCCACGTTTTCTTCGATGTTGGGGTATCCATTGCATAATTTGTTTTGGAAGTCGTGTGTCATCCATCCTCTGGACATGTCCGTACCACATAAGTTGTTGGCGTTCGATGTCGGTTGCCAAAGATCCCTCTATTCCTATCCTCTCTTGGATTTCTTCGTTTCGGACTCTATCTCTTCGGGAAATTCATAAGGTTCTTCTATAGGCATCCATTTCAACCGCTTCCAGTTTTTTTCGGTTGGCTTCCGTTATTCGCCAAGTCTCTGCACCATAAAGTAGACTGCTCTTTACCAGGGTCTCGTATATATTGATCTTCCGTTTCTTCCCTATTTCATTACTCTAAAATACTCCATTCAAACAGCCAATTGTTCTTCTAGCTTGTGATATTCGTTTTTTAATTTCTTTGTCATCTTTAGCTGTTGTATCAAATATCACTCCTAGATAGGTGTAGTCATTGCAGGCTTCTATCTCTTCATTTTCTAGATGTACGCTAGATAGTTCTGCACCAATAGGTAGATATTTAGTTTTTCATGTATTTATTTCCAAACCCCATCGTTGATATTCCTCTTGTAGTTTCCTTGTCATGTACTCCAAATCATCTTTATCGTTGGCCATAAGAAGAAGTATTTAGTTCATTAATTCGTGCTTATAGTTCTTCAGGACTCATTTTAATTTTAACGGTTATTACATACCGTTAAAATTAAAATTGTTATTAAAATGTTTATTCATATTGGTAATTTCTTATTGTATAGTTATGAACTTAAAGAATAGAAAAAAAAGCAGCATTTATCAAGAATACTTTTCTAAGAGCTCGTTAATTTTATGACGAATGGTATTCCTAGGCCATATAATATCTCTGTAATCATTGCTCGTTTTGAAAAACATTTTGGTGTGAAATAACATAAAAATACCATGTTTTACGATTACTTTCATGGAACATTAGTTACATTAACCATCTGGTTAATGTACCTAATTAGTCATTTGTCGTCTCGTTAAGGAAATAATCACGAAAGAGAGTTTATAACATCCACCAAATATTCACGACACATGGAACTTACCTCTCGTCACTCAGAAAAAAATGCATTGTAAAATGCACAAGAAATCACGTTAAAATAATTAACTCCTTCTATGGAATTCGATTTACCTAATTATTTGTTTAATAAACGATTGCTGATAATATAATATTGTTTTATATACATAATAAACATTAAAGCATTCGAAATAAAGTGAATACTATTTTATCGGATATCTAATAGTTAGTCCTTTTAAAGTAATTATTACCCTATATGTTTTAAAAGAGCCACGGTCAAAATAAACTGACATTGCCTTATTATTTTTGAAAAGTGTTGCTTATCTATTTATTCCAATAAGACGTCCTTATAATAAATTTATTTTAAGCACGAAAGTATTTTATTTCTATAAGAATTGCTAACAGTTTAAATCAATTTCTGGTAGACTTTTGCCACGTGGTTAATACTCTCCAATAGAAAGTCATTCGAGGTGGACATCGAAAGATGGTGTTTGGTGGGATTGGCGGGATAAACCCGATTAGCCACACATTTTTATATGATTTTTGTCGCGTTCCATTATTTTGAATAGTACCTACAATGGTATTTATTGTGTATGACAGTGATAAAAAGGAGAAGTGTATCGTTTACAGGTAGTGTGTTGTTTTAGTAGTTGTTTAGAATAATCAAACGTTATTATTAAGTTAATAGCAATATATGGCAGAACTAAAGTTTTTCTTTAAAAATGATGGAAATGATGCCGGGCCGAGGACATTGTGATTTTGAATTTAACGCTGGACGAATTCAACAATTCAAATTTGCAAAGTAATATTTAGCTAGATGATGAGATTTCAGATGTAGAGGAATACGAAGTCAAGCTAGCAAAATTGTTAAAAAAGTGGAACTTACTACAGCTGGTACCAATATAAAAGGTTAACTCCAATTTTAAGATGGGCCGAAGACTGTGACCTTTGAAGGAATCTAATAAAGGCAGATCAATTCCAGGACATTACAAAAACCATTCATCACTAATAGAAAAAAATTTACCGGGATACCCTTGTATCTATTATTTTTTATTTTGGAAGACATTCAATACACTTTTTATATTTACCTACTTATCACCAAAAGATTAATTCCGAAATAAAGTTATTTTACTAATAAATTTGATATTTATTTCATTTAAATTGTTAGTACTGATCCTATTCGATTAAAATCGACTCAGGCTTTAAACAAAGTATCATATTAATAAATCATTAGGCATTGCACTTCACATTTCATAATATAAAGAGAAAGGCTTGAAATAAAATAAGGAATGTATTTGAAAAACAAAAGGAAAACACCAATAAACAAATATATATTTCTTTAAATTAAATCTTCTTCTTACAGTGCCATACTCTATATAGAGCGTCGGCTACCTCTCGCATGTACTTGTGATGTGTGTCATCAGTGTTTCACAAGTACACGGGACCTACAGTTTATTGCCGAATCCGAACTGCACTATTTGAGAGGCTGTACAAGGCAAATATACTCTAGGTCAGGGTTTCTTAAAGTGTGGTCCACGGACTCCTTAGAGGTCCATAGCATATGTATCAGGGGTCCGCGGTACGCATTACGCCAGCATTACGCATTACGCCAACTGTAAACATATTTATTAAGAAAAGAAATAGTGTAGGGCGGCGAATTCAGTAGGTATTTAATCACTAAACACTACGCGATGTTCGTAAGGATCAAAAAAACAAAGTTGAAGCTGTTCCCTTATCAAACGATGTTATTCATTCTAGAATTGTTGAAATGTCGTCTATTGTTTTACAAGTTGATAAAGAATTAATTGCTTCACCGTTTCCATTCAGCATTCAATTGTATGAAAGCGCCGATGTATCACAATGTAGCCACCTCTTGGCATTTTTCCATTACGAACAAGACTCACGTAGTACTAAAGAAGAGTTTCTTTTTTGCAATTCACTTTTGGAGACTACAAAGGCTTCAGATGTTTATGAAATGACAAAAAGGTTTTTCAACGAACAAAATATAGACTGGAAGATTAAACTTGGTAGTATCTGCACCGGTGGAGCTCCCGCAATGCTTGGTAATACGTCTGGTTTCGCGGCTTTGGTCAAGAAAGGGATCCCTTATATCATAATAACTCATTG